AGGACACGGTGTTGTGGATTATTAATGCAGTTTATGGTGCAAAGAAAAGGCACAATGTATTTAAATTAGTCATAGTAATTTTACATTTGAAATAGCAAGAAACTGCCTGGATGATAATTTTACTACAGTAAAATGAAGCTGTTTCATCAGAATGAACAAAATATGTTCATTTTTTAGGTCTCAATCAGTAGTAAATTTTTAGTGTAAGCTGAGGTAAGCAAAGCTTAAAATAAGATGAGATCTAACCTTAACTCAGCACTTCATTAACATTTCTGGTAAGTTAAATGAAAGATCACTCTACTCCTTAAGTGACTTAACATGAAGATTCAATTAAAAGCCAAGCTCTCAGTTAATCTAAGATGCAAAATCATCAAGTGCATACCATCGTTAACATATCTCAAGGGTAGCTAACTGGGAATTAGAGTGTATCAACAAAGTGTGATTTTTGTGCCAGTGTATTTTATTTTTAAACAGAGAAGATGTTTATAAGTATTTTTATTACAAAGGCTTAAGCTCCTAGCTGTGTTTTTGCCATTGCTTTACAGAAAAAAGTACCTCGGACTTTGATAAGCAGGTACCAGAGCATGAATGCCTGCTCCTTTTAATTTTCAAGTAACTCTAGATAATTGAGCAGCTGATGTGATTTTAGGTAGAAAAGAAGATAAAAGCATGTACCTATTTTATGCTAAAATGTTTTTTTTCTGAAAGCCATATAGCTACTTACATAGTAATATGTGAGGGTGTAATTGGGTATTTCAGAGGAAACTAGTTCACTCTTTCTTTTCAGTTGATTCTGTATCACTTCACTCTTATGCTATTTTTTGATTAATTTAACAAGCCTGATGATTAGCTTATTGCATGGAATTTCTTTATTGCTAATTAAGTTTTACACTTTTTTCTAAAGGCTACATTTTCCTTTAGCCGCGCTTAAATAATATCTTTGAGAGTATCTTAATCACATTGAACTACTTTTAATATTTAAATAATTTTTTTATTCTCTTCTGGTGTGATAATTTACTTCTAAATGTTACAGATGCAACTTAGTATTAATTGTGGTTTGGGGGTGAAAAGTCTTTACACAAATATGTGAGTACTGAGATTTCTGTTGCAAACTGCCAAGTGAGACCCCTGAGATTAAAAAATGATCCCAGGAATCTTTACAAAAGCAGTGTATTTGGGCATAATGGGAAAAGAAAGCTAAGCTTCTACTTTTTAACAGCAGGCTTCTGTTAATAACTCAGTATTTTAGTTTGGAACCCAAATATGTGGATAAGACAGTATTTTCTTAACTTACTGATTTAATGTTGGTAAAAGCTTCACTTTTGTGGAAAAAAAAATTACCGAGTTTGTGCAGATGTTTTATTGTGATAGATCTATTATCCAGCTATTAGAAGATAAATGACTGATCTTTTCCAGTTTCCTTGCCTCCAGAAAATTGAAATAAGAAGGGGAATATCATTTGGGCTGTATGATTAGGGCAGGTGGGGTGGCCATTAATTTGAGAGAGAGGAATCTTGGCAGCATAGGCCAACTTGCATTGTATTATCAATCAAACCTCGATGCACTTCTTGTGATGACCCAGCACTCTCAGGTTTTTGCAGCGTTAATTAGAATTCATGACAAAATAGATGCAAGGAAACGTTTTGTGCCCTTCATAATTTTATAGAAAATTTATTGTTATTAGAGGAACCATTTGCTTAGTGTGATTTTTTTCATTACCAGCTTGTCAACTAGCATAGATAATCTGGAGAAAATATGAACTCCATAGATTGGGTGTCACTTTTGTTGATGGTTCATATAGTTTACCTTGGAGCACAGCTAATGGCTGAAGTTCATAGCAACAGCACAGAAAAACGTGGCAACCAGTGGAAGACAAATGAACCATGTTTATTGCTTTAATATAAAAAATACATAAATGGAAAGCAGCATTTGAATCTGATGAGCTCATTGCGAGTTTTGTTGGAATGATTTATATTTTCTCCTTATACAAAAAGCTACTATTGACACAGCAAGATGGAAATTAACTGACTGTTTTTTGGAAACCGATACTTTTTGGTTTTATATTCTGATTGGATCATTTTGTTTTAATTCTAAATATTTTTATGGAATGTTGAGCATTCAATAAACAAAGATTATTAGCTGTTCCTCTGATGTTTAGATGTATAGTAGGATCATACTATAGGGGAAGCAGTGTCAACTAGAAAATAATGTCTTATTAAGAAAGTATTAGGAAATTTCCTCAGGTAAATCCTCTAGTTACCAGTGCATTCTCCCTTTCTTTTTTTTTCCGCCCCTTTCAAATGAAAAGCCTAATTTTTGAAAATGAAATAATGGGGAAGAGAGATGTGATGTTAAATAGTCTCGTGATGCATGGCATTTCCTGCATTAACTTGTAAATCTAGGGACTTGCCACAGGAATAAAATGCTTGTTCATCCAGTGCACCTCTTGCATTTTGTACGTTTTGTCTTCAAATTTTTATTAATGTCTTTTAAGCATTCACAAGTGACAGCATTTTCATTCTAAATTTTAATAGGTGTATAGAAATAAGTAATTATTCGGAATTCCTGTTTTATAGTATAACTATTTTTTTGCATTAATTTTTTTTTACTCATAGTAACTGAACTTTTAAAAAGCCAGTGCTATTCACAGGATATTTGCTCAGTTTTGAAAGATCTAAATTATATGTATTATTTTATCTCTGATTTCAAACTGTATCATATCCAAATGAAAGAGAAATACAGCAAAAATGTGCGTGCAGTACGAGTAGCAGTAAAAGGCGAGGGTATCCACTCCAGAACTACAGTCAGGCAGCATAATTCATGTCACCCTTCACAACTGAAGGGTATTTTTAAATATTAAGCTGTGACTGTTCTTATAGTCATGTATTGATCTGTGTGTCAGTCTCTCCACCCTCACTTCTTCTCTTTCCCTCTCTCCTTTTCTCCTCTTGTATGTCAGACCCATCAAGAGACCCTGTACTGTCTTGCAGTGTTAAAGAGTAGAATCTCCACAATAAAGTTTATGGGACAGTGATCTGAAAAAGTCTCTGTGGTTTGAAAGTGTCATCCCTTTCTTACAGAACTTCAGGTCTGTCACACTGTCCTCTGCAAGCTGGCCTTAGCAGTAGTTCAGAGGTTTGCATTCTGATAAAATTGTTTTGCTGCAAGAGAGTTCTAACATAGAACTCTTGCCACTCTTCTCTTTCACCCTCAGCTTATCTGGCCTAATGGGATACTTACTCAGGACTGATAGCGATTTGCCTGGAGTTAACCACTGTCTTCTGCTGATCCTTGAACTAATACCTAAGCAGCAACTTGCAGCAGTTTTGAATTGCAGAACAGTTTATTGCAGCATGTTATTAAGAAGAAAGCTAGTACAAGACGAAAGAAAGAGCTATTGCTTTTGGGATACACAAAAAATGGTAAATTATTTTAGATGCAGACTGTATTTTATTTAGCTCTATCAAATAATCAAATTCTGCTCCCTGGAATGAGTTGTATCCTTGCTGGGACCAGCAGGTACCAGTATGTGGACAGGGCTGGAGACAATAAATGCAACTTCACGTTTATTCTTCTTGGTAATTCATAAAATCCCCACAGAGCCTGAAACTTGTTTAGCATAATAGCAAGACTGTATTCTGAGCTGTTTTCTTTCAATTGTAATGTTGGGTGCATACTAATAAACCAAATGTCAGCCAAATACAGGGAGAAAAATGTAACATATGAATATCATTGTATTTAATATTTCTCAAAAAGTACCATTTCAATAAACTGCACTCGTATTTAATTGCTTACTTTAAGTCATTGGGGAAATTTTAGAGGTTGAAACGCAGATCCCCAGTGCTCAGATAGAATATGATATTAATTTGCTGCCAGAAGGCTATACTTGCATGCATGCTAACTGCATACATATCAGCCGCTTCATATAAAGTGTCATTGTTTCAGTTATTTGACTTAACATGTATTCTGCAACAAAACAAATCTTAATTAAAGCAATTAAAGGAGAAAGAACAGTAATTCCAGTCACACAATGGCATGTCCTCACAAGGCACGATCAGCTTTTGAGATTTTCCCACAGTCAAGGTAACCTGCTGCCAGAATTTTAGCAGTAACCTCAATATATGTTTCCTTTATTTATAAAAGAAAATGCTGTATCAAAAGGTTTTAGTAAGTCTTGAGCTGTTATAACGTTGAGAATCTATTTAAGTTTCTCTTAGAAAACAAAGCTGGTATTATAAAAGTCATAGTATGAGGATTTTTGTATGCATTTATTTATTTCTCATAGATGCAAAAAATTGCATGAGGATGTAGGACAGCATACATGATCCATTTCTGTAATTTTGGAACTGGTAGGTAAGCGCTGAACAACATGCAGAAATTCTGGTTCTGTGCTTGGAGGAAAAGTATTAATGTACCTCCATTATATTGCTTGGGTTTATGCCTTTTTTATTTATTTTTTTTCCCTCTGAAGTGTGTTCATGAAACCCTAAAGATAAAATTTCATATGAGAGTTGATTTGGCTGTATTGAGAGAGAAGTTTGCATTCCAGTAGTGGTGGGAAACTTCACTTGCCTCCTCTTCGGTTTGATCATGCCAGTGTTGATAAGAGAATCCCAATAGACCTTGTTGGACATATCGCTGTATTATACTTGTTGTTTCCTGTTACTTCTGAGTTAATTGCAAGTTCTCTGATAATTTATTTGGAAACTATAACTGAAAGAAAAAAAATTTATGCTTACATTACACTGTGTCTTCAGGGCTGGGAACTAAGATTTATGTGTGTAATAGAAAGAGCAAATGTTTTCTCTGTTCTAATAAACTTAACTCCAATTCTGTTTTAAGTAAGATACCATTTATCTGGGCTCAGGTTTGTTGTTGTTGTTTGTTTTCACTGAATAGAAACAATTTGAAATCGCTGAGAATTGCTAGTATTAGTTCTGATTCTTACTTGTGAATGGGATGTAGAAGGAACACTGACCTATTTATATTTTGTTTTCTAGCTGGTGGCTGGGAGCGTTGTAATGGCATTTGAGGAAGTGTGTCCAGATAGAATAGATCTGATTCACAAGAACTACAGAAAGCTCTGTAACTTGTTGGTTGATGTGGAAGAGTGGGGTCAAGTTGTTATAATCCACATGTTAACTCGATATGCACGTACACAGTTTGTAAGCCCATGGAAGGTAAGTTTGTGACTTTTTAAATTACAATTATGTGCTTGCATTTCCAAATTATATGTTGGATACTTAGACTTTCAAGATGCATTTTTATACATATTTTAGTTAAAATAGGTATTAAATGCGTAAGTTTTACCTCTCTGAGGGTTCATTAACAGGAGGCATCCAGTTTATTTCAGAACATGAGAATTCACCTTCCAGGCTATAATCTGTCATGTATTACATACAGATTGTAAAATATATAATAAGGAAAGAGAAACTTAATTACTATGTTTTCTTAACATCCTTGAGTCAGTTGTTTGTTGAAAGAAAGTAACTTGAATTCTTCTTTTTGACCTTTATAAAGAATCAAAATTGATAATTTGCTTTACCTAAAGCTACAGTTTCACAATTGGTTTAAACCAGTTCTAGTCAGTGACTAGACAAAGGAAGAGTAGAAGTGGAGAATGACCTGTCTTGGACTGAGAGGTTGGCAGTCTTGATGGGATTAGGTTTCTTTAAGGCTCTAATGTACTTGTTTTTTTTTCACTGAAACCGGAGGGATGACAGTTGTTGCTGTGGCTTCTGCTCTAGGAATGTAAAAGGTTTGTGTAACAGTACTGCCTGTGTCAACCTTAAATTGGTCATCAGTGGTGTAGAATCATAGAATAGTTAGGGTTGGAAAGGACCATAAGATCATCAAGTTCCAGCCCTCCTTCTATGGGCAGGGACAAGGTATTAATATAAAGTGTTAATAACATTTTGTTTCCACTTTCATGAATCTCAGGGCAAAATTCAGACTACCTATTCAGCAATTAAATTAGCAGATTTTTTTTTTTTTCTGGGGCTAGTTGAAATACATGCCATTGTCAATAGCTTCTTAAATGAACTCATCATACAACAGGGCATCTTGTGCAGTAAAAGAGATTTTTAATTTAGTTTATTTGCATCATTATGGATCAGTATTTAGGCTGTTTATATGTAAATGTATGATTTGAGGAACAATTAAGTGTTGACAAAGTAGATTGCAATCATATCAATTGCAGTGCATTTTCCATAATTTTTCTAACTGACATCTTTGATGATAAATAGTGGATGCCAAGTCAAAGCCGATTATATAGTGCACTAGGAATTCATGGCGCTGTCAGGGAGAAGACCGATTGACTTTAAATTTACATATTAATGAGAAGATTTGTTAAGAGGGTGCTTGACTATAGAAAATAACAGCATATTTATAGGGCATGACACTTTATAAATAAAGCTGATGCAGGAAAATGGAAATTAAACCTATCAGATTAATAAATTCAAGGCTGTTAAAATGCATATTTGCATTTTTATTCACTAAAATTTACCTTGCTTCTTGAGGAACATATGCTGCTTTTGTTCAAATTGAGCTAATTCCCAGCAAGCAATAGTGTATTGTTCTGAACCGATTTCTTGTGCGCCTAGAAACCCAAAGAAAATTTGGGATACTTGCCAGTTACGGGGAAAAATGCTTTTGTGAACAATATGCTTAAAATTGCTGCAAAACTTTCATTGAATTACCCATTAACCAAGAATAGTTAGGTTTATATTGCTATTTTTATCTTCTTTGAAGGACAGAATATGTTCTGATCATGAACAGTGGGAGGAAGAATGTCCTTGATTTATCCTGTTTATTTTGAAACATTTAGAAGGTGTTTTTGAAGTAGTGACATGTGAATAGCATTTTTGGAATAGCCTTTTTCCATGTCAACTGTATTCAGGTTTAACATGTATTAACTGGAACACAAGCAAAACGCTCATTTTCTGAGAGAAAATGCCTGCTCAGAACTAACTGGGAACAACAATTCAAGTTTTCTGGGAAGTGACGTTTTTGATGGCAGATAACACTGCTTTTTAAGCATTTAACGCTGCATTTAAGATAACACTGCATTTAAACATCCCAGTTTAAATGTTTTGCCCTGCTGTTGTTGCAGGAGCTGCTGGGACTGTCAAGTTGTTTGCAAACAACTTCTGAAGCATAACAACTTTCAGCCTAATCCATGAGGATGTTTAAAATACAGATGCTCTTGGTTTCTCTGAAGGTGTTGAGTTGCAGTCTAGAAACTCAGGAACTGATTTTCAAGCTGTTAAGCCATACCTGTTTTTGCAAGGAGATGAGTATCACAGAAGATAGTGACTGCTTCAGCTGTCCTGGTGTTACAGATCCACCATCAAATGTATATTCAGTCTGGGAGGGTGTCTTCTATGAATAGCTGGCTTGGTCAGAAGCCTTGACAGTCGTTGTAGAGAGCTGAATGGCACCACAGCCCTCTGGTGTGTCAGCCACTCCTCCCAGTTTAGCATCATCAGCAAACTTGCTGAGGGTACATTCAGTTCCCTCATCCAGGTCACTGATGAAAATATTAAACAGCACTGGTCCCAGCACCGACCCCTGAGGGACTCCACTAGTCACAGACCTCCAGATGGATTCTGCCCCATTAACCACAACTCTCTGCCTTCTTCCTTTCAACCAGTTCTTGATCCACCTCACTACCTGATCATCAAGCCCATACTTCCTTAGCTTATCTATGAGGATGCTGTGGGAGACAGTATCAGATGCCTTACTGAAATCAAGAAAAACCACATCTACCGCTCTACCATCATCCATCCACGTAGTTACTTGCTCATAGAAGGCTGTAAGGTTGGTCAAACGTGACTTCCCCTTGGTAAAACCATGTTGGCTGCTCTTAATGACCCCCTCATCCTTGATATGTCTAGAGATGGTGTCAAGAATAAGTTGTTCCATCACCTTTCCAGGGATGGAGGTAAGGCTGACTGGTCTATAATTACCCGGGTCCTCCTTCTTGCCCTTCTTATAGACCGGTGTGACATTTGCCATCCTCCAGTCCTCAGGCACCTCACCTGTTTCCCATGACTTACCAAAGACGATGGAGAGTGGCTCAGCAATGACCTCCGCCAGCTCCCTCAGCACCCGCGGGTGTATTCCATCCGGACCCATCGATTTACAGATGTCCAGATTACTTAACTGATCCCTAACCCAATCCTTATCCACCAAAGCAAACTCCTGCTTTATCCCGACTCCTTCTGGGGCTATAGGAATATGGGTCCCCCAGGGAGAGTCTGCAGGAATAAAGACAGAGGCAAAGAAGGCATTCAGCACCTCTGCCTTGTTTATATCCTCTGTCTCCAGGGCACCCACCTCGTTCAGCAGTGGGCCTATATTGCCTCTTGTGTTAGTTTTATCCGCTGTGTATTTGAAGAAGCCCTTTCTATTGTCCTTAACCTGACTTGCAAGATTAAGTTCCAAGGAGGCCTTAGCTGTCCTAATTGCCTCCCTACATTCTCTAACAACTGCCCTATATTCCTCCCAAGTGGCCAGCCCCTCCTTCCATAATCCATAGATTCTCTTTTTCCATATGAGTTTGCCCAGCAGTTCCTTGTTTAACCATGCTGGTCTCCTGGCTCCCCTACTTGACTTCCTACCCATTGGGATACTCTGATCCTGAGCTTGGAAGAAGTGGTCCTTGAATGCTGACCAACTATCTTGAGCCCCTTTACCACCTAGTACCCTTTCCCATGAGACTTCCCTTAGCAATTGATTGAAGAGGCCAAAGTTGGCCCTTCGGAAATCCAGAATTGTGGCCTTGCTAGGTATTCTATTCCTCCCACACAAGATCCCAAACTCCACCATCTCATGGTCACTGCAGCCAAGGCTGCCATTGACCATCACCGCTTCGAACAGACCCTCCTTGTTGGTGATCCAGCAGCGCTCCTCTCCTAGTTGGTTTGTCCACCATTTGCATTAAGAATTTATCAGCAGTGCACTGGAGGAACCTCCTAGACTGTGAATGACTGGCTGTGTAAGTCTTCCAGCAAATATCGGGGTAGCTAAAATCCCCCATGAGGACCAAGGCATGTAGTCGTGAGGCTGCTTCCAGTTGCCTGTAGAAAGCCTCATCAACTCCTTCATCCTGATCAGGAGGTCTATAATAGACCCCCACAACTGTATCACCCGTACCAGCCTGTCTCTTAATTCGCACCCACAGACTTTCCACTTGCTCCTCATCTGCCCCTGGACAGAACTCAATACGTTGTAGTCTCTCTCTCACATAAAGAGCAACTCCAGCACCTCGCTTTGCTGACCTATCTTTCCCAAAAAGGACATAGCCATCCATGACCACATTCCAGTCACGTGAGCTGTCCCACCATGTCTCTGTAATTGCCACCAGATCATAACCTTTAGACCGCACACAGATTTCTAACTCCTCCTGTTTATTCCCCATGCTGTGTGCATTGGTGTACAGGCATTTCAGGGAGCGAGCAGAGCACGCTACTGGCACCCTTGGGAGGCGGGAGGTCTTCTGGTCTTCATTAATACTAGAACAATGCCCCACTAGTTCAAACCCAGCTACAACCCCCTCGCACTTTGAATCTAACCTGAAGCTCTGTGAGTGAGCTCTGCTAACTCTTGCCCTGGTACCTTTTAGGGTTAGGGACAGGGTCTATACAACTACCCTTTCCCTCAGATGGAACAATAGATTGAGAGTCCTCCCTAGTCCGTCATCCTTCAAGCCCTACCATGTTTCTCTTGGGCTTGTCCCTAACAGGCCCAGTTATCTCCCCTTCCCCCTTCATATCTAGTTTAAAGCCCTGTCAATGAGCCCTGCTAACTCCTGCCCCAAAAACCTTTTCCCCCTCTGGGACTAGTGTATCCCACCTGCCACCAGCAAACCAGGTGTCTCATATAGCAGCCTATGATTGAAAAACCCAAACCCCTGCCTTTGGCACCAGTCCCGTAGCCATACATTAATCTGCAGACTCTTCCTATTTATCTCTTCACCCTTGCTTCTAACAGGTATGGAGGCAAACACGACCTGCACTCCAGACCCTCTAACCAGCCGTCCCAGGGCCCTGAAGTCTCTCTTCATTGCCCTTGCCCTCAGAAGGGAGTCACCCACCACAATTACTCTTCTTTTCTTCTTGGTTGAGGAAGTTCTAAGGCATGGGGGTGAGTGACAAGCCCTAGGTGACTCACTAGGTAG